GGAAGGAAAAGGACGATGTCTTTGACCAAACAACTCCGAAAAGGACTCCAGAGCGACCGCACGAAAGTTCTGCATGACTTAGGGGAGCGAGCCAAGAGCATGCCGCAAAAGGAGCTGCTGGAGGCGCTGAAGACTTTTGGAGTAAGAAGCAAGAGAAAGCCAGGCTCCATCTCCCCGTTGCCCATGATCCGCGGGCCAGACGGGGCGGTACTCGACTCCTTTGAAGAAGTGGCAGCATGCTGGAGAAGGCATTTTGCTGAACAAGAAGATGGTCTTGTACAAACGGCTGAGGCATTGATGTGTCTACATGACTCTGATGCAAAAGAATATGAAGAGGAAGTACTATGGCAAGAAATCCCCACGCGAATGGCCATCGAGGCTGCATTCCGGCGAACTTCTGTCAATAGAGCATTCTTTGTTGATGGTGTCCCAGGGGACTTGCTGTCCAAACTACCAAGTGAGTTAGCTCGTGCGTATTATCCCTTGATGCTGAAACAGTCTGTTTTTGCCAAAGAAGCGCTCCTGCATAAAGGAGGACGGCTTGTCCCTTCTTTCAAGAAGGGAAGCCCGGCTGATATGAACTGCTACAGGAGCTTGTTCGTGTCCAGCGTCATTGGGAAAGCATTACACAGAGTCTACAGAGAACGCTTAGGACCGATTCTTGATGACCATCGGATGAGTCTCCAATTAGGAGGTCTGGCAGGGCACAGCATCACACAGGCAAGCCACGTGTTATCGCTTTTTTCACCGAAGTGCCATTCGACAGCAAGAAAGTGTGGCAATATTGTTCATTGATGTCCAGAATGCCTTCTATAAACTGCTACGGAGGCTATTTGTCGATGGCGTGCAAGATGTACGGTCAGTCGGGGAGCTCTTTCACTCCCTTGGCCTGCCGGATGAGAGCCATGCGGAGTTTGCTGCTTTGCTTGAAGAAGACACAGTCCTTGAATCATCGCAAGCCACATTCCATACAAAGCGCATGTTTGCTGAGTTCTATAAAACGACCTGGTTCAGTGTGCCAGGGTGCACGGACCTCACCTGGACCAGACGTGGCAGCAGACCTGGGGATTCGTTCGCTGACATTGCCTTTGGATTTGCATTGGCAAAGCTATTGACCCAGGTCGAGGCCCAGCTTGTTGCTAAGTACCCATTTGTCCAAATTGAATGGAATGGGCAGGCCACACCATTTGCCGATCAGAAATCTCAGTGCCTGCTTAGCCCTGTGATGCCGGTATGGGCCGATGACATAGCTATTGCTGTTAAGCATAAGTCGGCCGAAGCCCTAGTGCAGGAGCTTCCTGGGATTGCGGCCTTGGTGCTCCATCGATTGGTCGTGGCTGGACTCACACCAAACCTGAAAGCAAGCAAGACTGAGCTTTTCGTTGACATCAGAGGTCCAAGGTCATTGAAGGTCAAAAGGTGGCTTTCGCAGCAAGAATACAAGCTCGAACTACCAACTGCCCTGGTCCAAGAACCTCTGCGCCTTGTAGGGTACTACAAACACTTGGGTACATATATTCAACGCAATGGCTCATTGGAGAAGGAGCTGAAAGTGAAGCATGCAGTCGCGCACGATAGCTTCACCAGATACAAGTCGCAGATCTTCAGTAATCGCACAATGGACCTGGAGAAGAAGGTGCAGCTTTTCCGCTCCTTGGTCCTCAGTGCTGCCACGTACAATTGTGCAATTTGGCAACCTGAGACTAAACGACAGCAAAGACAGCTACGCGGGAATTTCCAGATGCTCTATAAAAGACTTGCGATGGGACATTTTGGAATTGTAGCAAAAGAATGGAGTATGATCAAAACCTGCGCTGTGTTAGGTCTGCCAATGACCGAATACATCTTGAGGGAACATCGACTGCGATACTTTCTGAAGATCTTGATGACTGGACAGCCACATCTGTGGGCCCTCCTTCAGCAAGAGCAGGCATGGTTTCATCTGCTCAAAGAGGATGTACAATGCCTGCGGGCGTTCTGCCCTGAAGCTGAGGTACCGGAGCTCACTGAAAATGATTGGCATATTTACCAACAATGGGCACAGGACCGCCCTTTGATGTGGAAGCGGTTAATCCGCAAGATGATGGCGCGGTGCCTTGCCCACCAAAGAAGGGAATATGAGTGGAATACATGGAATGCTGCGGTTGTACATGAATTGCGACAAGCAGGAGCATTGCCTTCAGAAAAGTATTGCCCAGGCTCCCAGCATTTCTGTCTTCGTTGCAAGAAAAGTTGCAAGCGGGCATCCGACCTTGCTGTACATGCTTTTAAAAAGCACGGAAGGGTGACGGAAGCCAGACAGTTTGTGATCGGTTCGCAATGCTGTGCATGTTTAAAACATTATAGCAGCTATGTCAACCTTGTAAATCATGTCAAAAACAGCCGCACATGTCTCCAGTTCTACAGGTCAAAGCCGACTGTTGTACAGCCAGAGCCAGGTGTCAATAGTAGAAGTGCTACTGCTGCAAAAGGTGGTCTTGAAGATCCACATTTTGTTGCTCAGGGCCCTCATGAACTCTTTTTTGTGGCATCTCATGATACTGACCCACAGATCGAGCATGAAGTCAAGGCTCTTAAACGTAGATGGACGACGATACTTGACGATGCCCCGGAGCAGGATGTCTTCCCGCAAAGGTTAAGAACAGAGACTTGTGAGACATATCTATACCCAGATGAGATCATGAGTGCTTTCTTGCAGTGGGTTGCTGAAGCGGAAGACACATTTCTGCTACACCAGCTGAGTGTGTGTGCGCAATTTGAAGCTTCGTTTACATTCGGATGGCTTCTGACAGGGCAAGCTGAATGTGTGAGAGATGAAGGCGATGTTTTCATTTGCATTGAGAAGCACCTGTCTAACTGCGAGGCCTTTCCTTTCCAAGTGGTCAGGCAACCGGCATACCAACCGGTTGTCTTCGCGCATCTCTTTTCTGGACATCGAAGGAAAGGAGATGTACAGATGTGGCTTGAAAGCGCGGGGGCCATGGCACTTTCGATCGATATCATATTTGATCTTGACATGGGCGACCTTAGCCGCCCGGAAACATTTGCCTTTTTCGCAAAGGCGCTCAAAGACAATGTGCTGAATGGCCTACTAGCCGGCCCCCCCCCTGTGAAACCTGGAGCCGTGCGAGGGGCACGGCCCTCGCCGATGGCTCGAAAGGCCCGAGGGTTGTCCGGACACAACAGAGGCCAAGTGGAATCCTCTCGTTGACTAAGGCCGAAGATAAACAGGTGCTCCTTGGTTCCCGGCTCCTCGGGATAGCGGTGCACCTGCTTGTCATTGCGCTGTGTGTGGGGGCGTCAGGGCTCCTGGAACACCCCGCAGAAGAGAGCCACGATTTCATGCACGTGTCTATTTGGCGAACATCAATCATGCGCTTGCTTCTAAAGTACCCTGGCTGCAGGAAGCTAAGGGTATGTCAAGGCTATTATGGTGCGGCGGCTATCAAGCCAACGGACCTCCTGCTTATCAACATTGATGCAAGTGCTGAAGAATTCCTGCTCAAGAGCAGGAAGACGAAGCTTCCCACAACTGCAGCCATTGGAAAGCTCAGCGATGGCACATGGGCGACTACTCGCCTAAAGGCCTACCCGGAGATTTTCTGTGAAGCCCTGTCACAGCTCCTCCTAAGGAGTCAGCCTGTGGCTGCAGATTCGCCCCCTATCCCCCATGAATTCGTTAAAGCCTGCAAAGATTTGATGCAGAGCTTCGACGAAGGTGCAGCGATGGGGGCGGATTTCTGTGGGAAACAAGCCCAACCTTTAATTCAGAATTAGATGCATTTTGCGGCCACGAACAGAGTTATCGGCGAGCGCAAGAGCCAAAAAAAGAGCTTGCTTGCTTGTTTGTTTGTGTTTGTGTTTGATCGTTTGCCTGTCTGTCCGTTTGTTATTGATTTCAGGATGTTTACCCGTTTCAAGATGAAGGTCGAGATCAGAGGTGTGGCCTCTGATTTGACACAACAACATGTGAGGCAGTGTCCATATGTTCCGTTTGGTTGTATTTGGTCAACTGGCAGATCTCATTCTCGTGATCATGGGACGTGGGTCTTTACTGTTATGGTACTGAGAACTCCATGGGTCACCACCAATCATCCATGTGGGAAGGACATCCTCCCTCTCCTCAATAGTTAGAATCATCCATATCCCATCCAAAAGATAACTCCGGTTTCATCCAGAGTGGTCATTCTGGCCTCAATATGTTGCCTGGCCTTCTGATTAAAAGATCACGTTGTTCGAACCACCTCCAGGCTCTTTGGCAGGCTGTTTCCGGTCTCTCCTCGCGCCTGGACTCCAGCAGCGGCGTCCTCGGGCGCCTGGAGCCCGTCGCGGCGTCGGCGGCGCCCGCGGCCGCCTCGGCGCCGCGGGCGTCGTCGGCGTCGGCGGTGCGAGCAGTGCAGTCGATGGAGTTGGCGACGCAGCGGCTGGCGGAGACGTGTGCGAAGTGGACGGCGCCCGGAGAGAAAGGATCCATTTTGAGCTCTGTGGTTGAAGTTCGGGAGTAGAGGAGGGGTTCAGGTGGACAAACAATCTTGCAGCGTGTGCAGATTGCGTGAAGGGTGCGGTCCTTTGGTTTAACCTCGTCGAGCATGTTTGAACCCGTTTGTTCAGAATAATTGCAACCCCACTGCTGTGTGGTCATTTCATCACTTGGAGGTTCCTGGGTCCTGAAAAGTGATCTACGACATGGCCCCAACATCAGAGTGATGGACCCGTTGCCCAGAGGTCCAAGAGGCCAATAGCCAATAGCCGGAGATCATGATCAAAACGTATACTGATACCCGTAGACATCATGCTGTATGAAAACACTTTTTTACATCTTGTGCTGCTGTTTTAGCCCGTATACAAGCCCGTATGCAAGTGTTGTATCATGCCCGTATACAATTTATATGTATGGTTTTAGAATGTTTTAGATGTCGCTCGTGTGCTCCATGCTCCACCGCTCCGGTGTCTTTTTGAGCTCCACCGCTCCGGCCGTCGGTTCGGCGCCGGACGCGCAGGTCTTGGCGGCCAGTGCCTTTTGGGCGGCTCGCATTTACAGCTGGTGGGGTGCCCCATTCACAGTGTGAAGAGGGTGGAGCAGTGGAGGGAGGTGATTCCAAACTGGGAAGGCCTTGGCGCCTTTTGGACGCTGGCTTGCTTTTGGATGGTTGAGGGTTCCGGCAGTTCGGGAAGTGTTTAATGCAGCACAGGACTTGTGGCGTCAGTTCGGGCAGTTTGACTACGAAATGCTCACTTGCAAACTTGGCAGACCCCAAGGTTTGGTCAAACAATGTCAAGCACTTGTTCATCAGAATGCTGTCTACCGTTCGCCTTTCACCAAGAGCAGATCGTCAATCCGGGCTTCACCAGCCACGCCCGACCCCTGGCGACGAGATCTCGATTTCAGGAGCTTGCTCGTGGTCCCTCTTGCGCCCGGAGACCTCAGCGACGATGATGAAGTTTAAGTTTACGTACAGTGTATGTGAGTGTCCCATGCCCAACTCGATGCCTGGATCTTCGAGTATAGTGGTTGGTCAAGGTCAGTCAAATTTCACTGTTAGAAGATGTTGAAAGATTCTGGTCCCTGTTAGCACCTCACGACATTCTGCAGGGAGTGTTGAGAGATGGGGAGTCTCCATTCACGAGACTCACGAGCTATACGGCATGTTGGACGCGACTGGTCCAGGTGGTTGGCGGGGCTGGCGGTGTACCATGTGATGCTGGCCCTGGTGGTGCAGCCCTTGGTCTTGCCCAAGGAGTGGGTTGGCCGAAGCTTTGGCCGGGTCCGATGGGCTGGACGGGCCACGAGAACTGATGCGTGGGCGCCCCCCCTTCATGGAGGCTATGAGCAGCGATGCCTTGCCTGGTTCTTGGGGTCCTTGAAGTTGATGCCGTTGAGGGACGTGCATTTTTCGTGTCACACATGTATTCTATTCATCAATATTCATCATATTATTCATAAGACTTGTGTCAGTGGTATTGGTAAGGTCCCACAGGAAGTCACTGAGCTTCGCTCTTCGCCCATTTTCCGCGTGGCCCGAACCCGGCGGATATCTGGACAGCGTGCGGGTGGCAGGCGGCTCGGGTGGACCCAGGAGGAGCTACTGTGGAGAAGGTTGAATAACAAGCACCTGCTATTCTGTATCAGTAAATTCTGTATCTCGTAGGGTGCGCCAAGCCCTTTTCGAGTGGGATAGTCCCGATGGCCCCTATGTCTGGCAGAATTCCTTGCAGTCTACTGCATCATACTGTATTCCTTAGCCTGAGATTTGACATTTGGTCGATGTTTTGAGCCTTGATCTGATACGATTTGATTGCTCAGTGGATTTGGCACGTTCGTGCCCTACAATGAAACATATCAACAATAACAATTGTCCTGGGATTTTTGCCAGTTGATCGGGCAAATCGACATCAGGAGAAACAGACCTTCCCTGGCTGCGAGGCCTCGGACTCGTCCACCCGATCGCCAGGCCATGGCGAAGGCCGAGGCGGAGGCGGCTCCGCCCGAAGTCCGGCCGTGGCTCCTGCAGAGGCGATGCGATCGGTGGGTCACCCGAGAGTAGAGAAATCCTGAGAGATTGGTTGCAACGCAGGGCTTTACCAATATATTATAGAAATTCTTGAGGAGAAGGCACCTGTGGACGTTCAAGGCGAAGCTTTACCATGGCGAGATCCTTACTTTTCTTGAGGAGATCCTTCCCGTGGACTTTCCAAACGAACTGGCCGTCCCGGACAAAACCCAGTTCGCCCTCGTCAGCGTCACCGCCCTCGTCAGCTGGATGTCACGTCGCCACATGAGGCTGCTGCGGTTGGTTTTGGACCTCGTCACTGGACTGCTCAAGTTCCTGGTGCTCGCGGGCAGTTGCTTATGGGCCTACCGGAACCTCGCCAGTTTCTTTCAGCCTGGCCAAACACAGCGACATAGAGACAGACATACACGATTGGACCAACGGGCATGGACGGGCATGGTCCGTAGAAAATATCCACTGGCATGAGGTGAAACCGTGCCATATGGTCTAAGGTGTCCTTCCGCATGGTGGAACCACCTGCACCAGGTCTTGCCTTGCCCGCTTTTTGGGAACACCTGCCTTTCAGCATCAGCATGCCGTCCGGACCTGAGGATTCGGCTGATCTCCGTGCAGAAGTTTGGCCGCCCGAAATGCAGGGGAGATGTGGTGGTGGGAGACGAGAGGAGACGGGTGCAGACGGGATGTCCATAAGGCCATAAGGGTTGGTTGGATCGTGTCAACATGTGTCAACCAACATCAACCAATTCTCCACAAGCAAATCTCGCCCAAAGTCATTCAGACTTTTGCAAGCCAATCCGTGTTATGTCCTTGTGCTTCGCCTCAAGGCACAAGGAGGGACTCTGGCCAACCCGCACCCTTGGGCGAAGCATGTCTGAGACACCCTTGAGTACCGGCCGCCACCGTCCACACCGGCCGGTGGACCAGGCTATCTCATCCATGAGTTCGACCCGTGGTGCCCTGGCGGGGGTGTGAGTCGCGAGAGACACATCATGAGTAGAGTAGCTGGCGTTTTTTGGGAGGAATGCATTTACCCAGTGGAATAAAGATTCAGGAAGTTGGTTTGGTCTTTTGTAAAGCCAATACAGAGAGAGAGAGAGAGATCAAGATTCGCTCGATTCACATGCGGCGGGTTTCTCAGACCGCTCGCTCAAGCCGCTTGGGTCGCGACGAGTTTCATCAGCTTCATACCTGAGAGTCGACTGGCAGTGACAGCTGTTGAGGTTCAACGCACGAGCGACGAAGTATCTCTCGAAAAATGGCTGGCATGCGTTCTTCCACTGGTACGACTATATGAGCTCCTTGGAAGTCCCAGATTCAGCTTCTGTGAGATGTTTGGGTTGTTCTTCCGGACATTATGCACGGTAGTTCTTTCCCGGCCGCGTTCTTTTGCATTCTTTTGGGGTGTTCTTGAGATGCTTGACACCATCACTCTCCCCAGGCCCCTGATAAAGGCGTCCTTTTTCAACCGCTCCAATAATTTCATTTTTCGTGTGACCGACTGCCAAGAGGATTCCAAAGGTTTTTGGCAGTTCCAAAACTCCACAACACGCATGCCAACCATGAGGATTTCAAAAACAAAATGCCAACGTGGCGCAACCCCGCCGAAGGGCTTCCCTCCCTTTTCTTCTTGTCACCCCCACCTTCACACCACCCCCCCACCTCCACCCCCCTCTCCTGAGCTCCTTCTTGCCTCCCGTCCGAGGTTGGTATCCCTTGGGTCGGCCCATTGGCACCACCATCTACCCCGGGATGCAGATCCTCTCGGCCGCTCGGCGCGCGCAGGGAGTGCCGAGCCGAGCCGGTGGCGGACGACCGAAGACCGGCGCGGCGCGGCGCTGAGGTCGGGATTCATCGCTTCCTGCGGCTCTTCCCGGACGCCTGGCGCGGGATGAAGGTCGTTGTATGTCGTTTATAAATACGTACTGTATATATATATATATAGTTATTTTATTGTTATATATTTATTGATTATTGTCTATTTTTTAGACCTTTATATTTTTGAAAGGTTTTTGTTGGACGATGCCTTTTGGAACCCTCATTGCATAGTGTATAGCATAAATTAAGGTTGGACAATGGATTCCCTAGTGGATGTCCTTGCATTTACACAGATATAAAGAAAATGTGTATGTGTTTTGTTTAGTATCAATGTTGCAGAGCATTCTTTCAAAGTCTTAAGACACTTTTGTATTTATGTTTGCTTCGTCTAGGTCTTGCAGCGTGTCTCAGGATAGCCGCTGGGACTTGCCAGGCAAGGAGTTGGTGCCCCCCCGGTGGCTGCCGATGCTGCCGGGCCACGGCACCCTCTCGGTGGGGAAGATGTCGGTGAACAACGTGTGCGTGATGGTCCCTGCGTGGCACCTGGGCACCCAGAAAAGCTGACGATCTTCTTCCGCCATCCACCGGTGGGTAGGGAGGACACGGGTGAGTTTGGGAGTAAGATACTACACCTGCTGCTGCTGATGAATTTGGGTGGCTGGTGGAATATACTCCACCCCTTTCCTCTTAGCCCTGAGGGTCATGTTGCAAGAAATCCTCACCTTCCAGGGCCACAAAGTTTCAGGGTTGACCTTTCTTTTGAAGGAAACCTCTTCTATTCATTTCCATTCTCGGTACCTTAGAGCCGTAAGAGTAGCGCCTCTCTCTCTCTCTCTGCATACATGCAGGCACGTATTGTAATACATATCGCCTGTAGATTTCTCAGGTCCTTGAAGCCAAGAGAAGACTCGGACGAATCTTCGCCACGGCTTTCTTCTTCCGGGGGGGCGACCCTCACCGTCGAGGTTGGCCGCGGTGGCCACGCTTTCCATCTTCCTTCTCACCTGGGAAGTGTCCGAATCCTCCGGCGCCGCGGTCTGCGCCGCGCTGGTCATGTCCATCATCCCTGCGCACCTCATGCGCTCGATGACAGGTGGGCGGGGGCCGGGTGGAGCAGTTCAAAGCCTATCACCCAAGCTGAATTGTGCGCTACTACCGATACAGGGTGACGCATGAGTGTGGTTTGTTACTTTTTCCCTGCCAGCCATATCAACCTCCCAGCTCGTTTTGGGACCCCGCACTGGGGGGGAGATGCTGGGGGTCGAAGCGGCAGAAAGGTGAGTTCGACAACGAGTGCGTGGCGATGGCAGCCTTTTGTACCGCCTTCTGGCTGTGGTGCCGAAGCATCAGAGCCTCAGTCGACCAGTGAATGCACTGATTTGATTGAACCTTTTCTACGTGACAGGTGCACTCTAAGTAAAAGACGCTTGAGGGAGTCGAATCGTTCGACAGACTGACTGAGAATCCCAAGTTCCTTGGAGTAGCATACCTTGAGCAGACCTCACCTGTTTCCTTGCCCCCCCGCGAATGGGCTATGCTTGAAGCTCAGGACATACCACTAGCTGGCCCTGGGCCGTGCCAGCCGCCCTCGCTTACGCCGCTTGCTTTCGATGGGACCGGTGCTTGTGATCTCCGAACGGCTGCCTGCAGCTGTGTTAGATGCGCTGAGTGTAGCGCATACCAAGTCCATAACCTGTAGCCCACCCCGGCGCTACGCCCCCGGTGATCCGCTGTGGCATTTTTTTTTGAAACGGTGAAGGGATCGCCCGCAGGGCATCGATCTCGCTCAGGTCTTCCACGAAAGAGGGTGGTCATGATCTACATACCTGCCGAGGGGGGGCGTATTTTCGGTCGACCCAGTTATTCCTTCCAGGCCCCATGTTTACCTTTACAATCGCATGTTCCCGACCAGGGGTAACTTTCTGAACTCCGGATGACTAAGCCAAGAGATATGTTCTTTCTCACTGCAAAGATGTAGCATGCGCTTTGATTTCCAGTGCTTCCATTCTTTTCTTTGCACTGTGCCGGGGGTCAGAGACCGTTTTGGCACTGTGCTGTGCTCGTCCAACCCCCTCAAAAGGAAGAGAACAATCTAGAGAGGGTTCTTGGCTATTGTGGCTAAACACATGCATGGTTTGCATAATATTATGAATCATGACTATATAAATATATAATATACATGTTTGATCATGTTTTACTTGTGCTCAATATCGCTTGATTTCAAAGCAGTGGGCTGCCCCTCCGAATCGCGGTTCACTGCGATTCGGTGCCGGGCCAAGGCGGGGGCAGTGGCCACATGGGGCGGCTACATTTTTGTCGGGCGGCTCAGGGATGTTGACGCTTCCGTTTCGTTTTTTCACTCAAATTTGTCGGATTGATAATGACAAGCTGATGTTATCTCCAGTTGTGGA